CTAATCTGGTTAGTAAAAATACCACACTGTTTTACTTTGTATATCTGTTTTGATATGGTGATTGGGTTGAATCTCCTTCAAACTGAGTCACCCCATCAAAGCTTTGCAGAGCACTATCTACAGGACCTCCAGACATATTGGAGCTATAGTTCCTAGATAACCTGAGCCAGCATGGAAAATCTCAAGATTCAAACAAATCTCTTCCAAAACACACATCAGGTTTATTATTCCCCCCCCCCCGGGTTCTTTTCCAGGCTGTCATGATGACCGGTGCTCCTGTCAATGTGGAAGCCAGAAATTTTGAAGGTAAGTGTCAGATTCTTGGGCAACTGCCTGAAACCAAAAGGGATTCTTTCCAAGCGTGATTCTTACCATTTTTTTTCTTTAGTAAGATTTATCGAGAACAGGTCAGGGTTACAAGAATTGCAGCAACTGAATTATTTCATATTTAGAGCCAATTTTTCCCCTTGGAGATTAGGGCAGAGAGTTTTCTGATTTTCCTTCTAACAGCCCTCCTTTGATCCAATGAAGATGCAGTTCTCTTCACTGATAATACAGAAGCTTGCAATTGGCTGTCTACATAATGGCTTCATGAATCCTTAGCTCTCTGGGAACCAACCGTTACATCAAGATGATAAAAGTGTTTGAATCCTCAAAAATGTTTTCAGCTGGAGTATGTGTAATAGGGGCCAGTTTGGTGTACTGGTTAAGGCACCAGGCTAGAAACTGGGAGAATGTGAGTTCTAGTCTTACCTTCGGCACGAAGCCAGCTGGGTGACCTTGGGCCAGTCCCTTTCTCTCAGCCCTAGAAAGCAAATCTTGCTAAGAAAACTGCAGGGACTAGTCTAGGCAGTCACCAGGAGTCAACACTGACTCAAAGGCATGCACAAACACACATGCACACGTACACATACGTGTAATGCAGGCATGCTGACTCCTTCTTCTGCATTATTTGGGCAGGTCTCACTCCTTTGCACTGTGCCGTCATTGCTCACAATGCTGCCTTCCAGACACAAAATATGGAGCCCTCGTCCCAACATCACCTACAGAACTTACTACTCTGTGTTCAGCGGCTTTTGCAACTTGGAGCTGATTATAAGAGCCAGGTAGGTGGGCAGTCTATGTCAAGGGTTCATTTCCCCCATGTCAAGGTAGAAGGTTCCCAACTCTTCCTGTTGGGAACAGGATACTTCCAGAGTATCTGGCTGCAGTGGTCCCAACAAGGAAAGACATGAAGGCAAACGACCAGACGCTCAGTCAGAAGGTGGAAGCCAACGCAACAGGGTTGACTTCCCACATTTTGAAATAATACACAGTGCCATCTAAGCAAGGGACCCCTTAGACTATTGTCCAAACTGTAAAATTACCTAGACTCACCATTGCCTGGCTGTCCAACCCTTTGTTTTCCCTTTACTTCTGCTAGGACTTGAAGAGCAGTAAAACCATCTTGCATTTGGCTGTTCAAGCTGCGAACCTGCCTTTGGTCCAGTTCCTCCTCAAACTGCCTGGACAAGAACGTCAGAATTTTGTAAACATCAAGGTATGCCACTAGGATTCCCCCACTGGCAAGCAAGGTCCCCCAGGCTTGGACACAGAGAAGGTGGTGTGTGTTTTCCTATGGCTTCCAACCTATGTCTTGGACTATAACTACCATCTGTTACAGCCAGCACAGGCCCATACATACAGATCTTGGAAGCTGCAGATAAAGAATATCTGGATGGCATTTGATTGGGGGAGAAATACAGACACACACACACAGTATGATTGCTGATGGCACTTCTGAAGGTACTTCTCCTTTTAAGACCAGTTGCCTGTTCAGCTGCAAGGGGAAAAAAAACCCTATATCTACAACA